CCCCAAAACCCCAAAACCCCAAAACCCCAAAACCCCTTAAAATTTCAAAAAATTGAAACAAAAAAATTCTAAAATTTCTCATTTCCCTTCTAAATCCTCTTTTTGCCCCAAATCCTTTCAAAATCTTCGGTAAAATCTCTAAACGAGCCAAAGAGCTCATTTGTGCAGAATGGGTGAAATAAGTGCTTAAAACTTCTTCTTACTACGAAACTTCTTGGAATGCGAAGGAAGTTTTCCCTTTCTAGGCTGGATCCTGCTCAGATGGTCATACCCAGCGATATCATACGGGGATTTCTTCAGCCTAGATGGGTTGTAAAGAGTCTCTGAAGTGATGCTAGGGTCTAGAAGAGAGGTTAAGGAAATAATAATACCAGGTATCTTTTCAAGTTTTGAGAGTTTTTGGCCTTTTTGTACCGCATTTTGGTCAAAATCTATAGCTGATGAAGTCGATAGGTTGGTCTGCTGGTGTCCTGAAGAGTAGTTCGTCCTATTTTTCATCTCTTCTTGAGTGGAAGGATGCCTTTGAATGCCATATTTGTGTGATGAGTCATTTTGAATCAGAATTTTACCATTACCAGAAGCATCTTGTTCGAGAAAAGATTCCCTAGTCCTTCTAAAATTAGGCCCATAGTTGAAAGAATGAGCTATTCTTATCTCACTTTTAGAACTTTGGTTCGTTCCAGAAGGACGCTTTTGATATTTTAATGCCCTCTTATCCTTCATTGAAGTGTGCTTTGCTAACTTCAGCTTATTTCCTTTTCGAATTTTAGGAGGAATGTACTGGTTACTAATATCTAAATCTTCCTCATTCAGTATGCTCCTTATCGGCTCAGTATCATCAACTCCTTCATCAAGTGTTGCTTTATACTTAGCTTTCTGCTCTGAAGCCCCATTCTGGTTATAAAAGTGATTGTTTGTCATTCGAAGTTTCATATGTGTTTTCCTAATCCTGTTCTTTTCCAAATTTTCTATCCTCTTATTAAGTATCTGCTTGTCCTTGCTCAATTTATAGATTGCGTTGATTACAGACTGCTTGTTTTTGACCATGAAATCATCAGAATTAGTAAGGAGTACCATGAGGTCTTTCTCATTATAGTCCTTCACTTCTTCTTGTGGCTTCTCTTCAGTTTCCTTAGTGTCTTCAGGGTCATCATCAGTTTTGGTCATTCCTCTGATCTTCTTTAGCAAGGAGGAAGAGTCTTTTCCAGTAATTGTTTCAAGAATCTCCAGTCTTTCCCTCAGATCTTCGTTCTCTCTCTGAAGTTGGTACACATTTTGGTTAAGATCATCCACAATTTGGTGGTTCTTGACAATGTCTTCACTAAGAGACATATTTCTTTGAAGGACTTCCTTGACAATGTTCGCACTATGCATGATTCTTTCAAAAGCAGCTTCCTTAGCCTCTTCAATTTTCTTGGAAATTTCTGCATTCATAACTCTGCTTTTCTTACTTTCTGTATCTCTTGATGGCTTTTCAGCAGTTTTAAAATTCTTATTTTTCGGAGATTGCTGACGAGAAGGAATTTTACCCTCTTCCTTATCATTATAAAACTGGTTAGTCTGAGTCTTCATTTTGACAGATCTATCAGGTGTATTCATATGAGCTAAAGGGGGCAAAGACTTTTCATTCTTAGCAGTTAGCTTTGTTTCAGACATTGGGTTGAACCCATTTGAGGTTAGAAGCATCTGGCTTTCTTCACTAAACTGCTTCTTAACTTTTTCTGTACCAAAGAAAGTTCCTTGCTCACCTTTAACGATGCTTAAGTCGAGGATATGTCTATTAGCTTTAACAAGTTCCTCATTGAGAATCTTTATCTGTTTTTTTAATGTGTCAACCAGTTTTGTCTGAGGATCATCATTCTTGACTGGTTTGTTTGCAATTCATGAGGCTCTTGAGGCATAATTTAGTGTGCTCTTGTTTTCATCACAGAACTTATCATTAGGCGTTAAACAAGAAATCATCAACGAGTAACTGTTTCCACCTAGACTTTGTCTAAGCAGACAAGTCAGTTTAGACTCACGGTACGGTATATAATCTTTTGATTTAGAATCAGTTAATGCTGTAATGACTTGTCTCAGGGTAAACAAAGATTTGTTTATATCGATACTTTCCTTTGCCATTTGATCTTTTACTCCTGTTTGGTTGGATCTCTCACTTCCTGCCAGATCGACCAACTGTAATTTTGAAACGATCACATTATCTGGCTTTGCTGGATTAGTTCACTCACATGTGATTGTAAAGACGCAATGAGACCTTGAACTGGCATTATTCAGATTATGCGTGGACATAATCTTATTCTTAATGCCCATATGATAATACTTCATCAGCTCTTCTGGTGATTTGCATTCAAAATTATATAGATTTTCTACTGTATATATATCCAGCTTATTCCATCTTAGCTTCAATCCAGTGCCCTGGAAAGCACTCTTTTTGCTATGGTTTGGGTTTAAAAGATCCAAAATTTTCTCCTGATAGAGCTGTAAGAAGGAGCAATATATCCTAAAACTATGACCAGATTGACTGGAGTTTTCATCTATCTGAGAAAATATCGAACTGATGACTCTTGGTACAATTCCGATATTATCGCCATTCTCGATTTGGGCTTGAAGTCCTCCTTTAGAATTACCGTTATTAGAATATTTATATCCCTCCATTGTGAAAGTTTTGCCGCTGCCAGTCTGTCCATATGCAAAAATAGTGGCGTGATAGCCGTCAACAACTTGTTTAATATATCTCTGTATGTCCAATTCTTCATAAACCTCTTCCTGGGTTGCATCAGATGGTATGACTTTATCAAATGTGTAATTTTTGTTAATCTTCCCAGCTGAATTGCCTAAATTAAGAAGTTACTCTCTAATCTTTATTTACACAATTTGTGTACAGCAGTAAATTAATACAGAAGTTTTCTGAATTTGGAAATTGTAGAGATCTGGACTAATTAGCTCTTAATAATCGATGGCTTACCTTTGAAGGATATGGTATTACTATTTTCTATTCACTGAGAGCAAGTCTGTGGATGTCTCTCCACGATCGATCTCTGCCTTCAATAGAGGTCTGACTCTGATAGCCACGTTGACTCTGGTATTCTTCATTTAATTCTATAATAAATATTAATAATGGGGTTTTGGGGTTTTGGGGTTTTGGGGTTTTGGGG